TATATATATATATATATATATATATATATATATGCATTGAATAAGTTCCAAAAATAATGATTACATATTTACTTACTACATGCATTATTAGCTTACTTGAGTCTTGTAGGTTGAATCAATCAAAATTTGGAGAATCCTTATTCGTTAAAATATTGACTTACAAATAGTGAGATCCATCTAAACTGAAAAGGGTGAGGAGTTAGTATCAAGATTCAGTCTTAGATTACACACTGAGGAAAGAGTAAAAAAAAAAAAGAAAAGAAAAAAAGAAAAAAAAAAGGTTTGGGGCTGTGAGATTCTTATGACTGATGAAAGTAAAAAAATTGACCATTGAAGATTGAGCATTGAAACAACTCATGAATTTATAATATTTTACTTAATTCTTTATGCACACACTCATTAGTTTTACATTAAAAATGTAGATATTAATTTGGTAATGCAACCTTGAAGTTGTTAATAGATTTAATACAATGATTCTAATCATGAAACAAAATGGCATGTTATTTAACCAAAACCTTTTTCATGTTTATATGTTTGTTAAGTTAGGTTGTAGTATTTTTGAGGACCAACAAATGTTTAAGTTTGAAAGTATTTGACAGATGTATTTTCTGTAATTATTTTGACAAAAAAATATAGTCATTTAATAGTTCTTTTGAACAATTATATCCTAATTTATTTTATATTTGCATTTAATAGGAGAAACTCGATGAATTAAAGTGGAATTGAAAGAAATAAGTGAAAATTAGCAAAAAGAGGACAAGATCCGAACCTCATGATGAAGATTTTTAGCCGAAGATTGAGTCTCATTTTTATCCTAGTAAACATTTGAATTGAAAAAATAGCTACATCTAGTAAAATTGTAACCCTTTTGAGTTATCTTTACAACCCAATTTAAATCGTCTCAATCGAATATCGGAAGAGAAAGTTATGATAAAAATATTAAAAAATGTGCAGTGATGATTTGGTCCTTTTAAAACCCATAAAAACTCAACAACAACAACAACAAATGTGGAGGCAATTATAAATACAACTTTTTAACACTTTTGATGAAGTTCCACATAATTTGTGAGCAAAAAGCACTTAGGGGCCGTTTGAGCTCCATTATTTGTAAATTATAATGAGATGAATAATATTTTTTTTGAAAAATGAATAGTTGAAAAGTTTTTGATTTACGTGTAATATTATTTTATTGAAAATTGTGTAGTTAAAAATAGGAGAGAGAAAAAATTTAATTTAATGTAATCAGAAATAATGAAGCTCAAACGGGGGCTTAATCATGAAGAGAAAAGAGCAAAAGCTAAGGTTTGAAGGCTTTTGAGATTGAAAAAGATTCTTTGTGCAAGATCCAATTCTTTCTATGATCAAGATTTCAAAACCCAGTTATTAACTTTATACTTTTTGTTTTTCTTTCATTATTATTAGTAGCTAAATTTATAGCTAGGGCGAACAATAGATCTAGTGGGACACTTTATTTCTTTTATTCAAGGTTCAAATTCTTTGAATGCATATGTGTTGATTTTAATTATGTACTTAATGTTTTAAATTTTTTGGCCAATTATTCAATGATTTTGTGAATATATTATGAATCAAGAGGTGAGTTATAGATTTAAACACATATTAAAATTCGATAATTTAATATGACGTGCAGAGATACCCATATTAGTAATTGCAGTTGTTAAATGAATTCTTAGAACTAATATTCGTTTAACTAAAATTGATTCGCATAGAGAAATTGGATTGTATTAGTTAAATAAGTTTAATGAGAACTCGAGAAGGATAAAGTGAATTCTTTAGAAGAACCGAACACTACAATTGTAATGAATCTTGACTGACGAATTAAAAGGGATCCATAAGTAACATTGCAAATCCTAGTGTCTATATTCATACTTTTAAAACCCAAATTCGATACGTTTGTGTACGCTAGATAATTTAGTTTGGTTAGAATAATTTAGACTTCAATCACAAAATTTATTATTTGTTTTCAATCAAATTAAAGTTAAAAATAATTGAACCAATTTTTAAATAGTAGTTCTCATGGGAACGATATTTGGATTCATAGGTCAACTTTATTACTTGTTACGATCCATATACTTGCTAGTTATAAAAATCGACCAAAAACTTCTTTGTTCAAATTACTTGCAGCACGAGCCTTCTCGGTGTCAATCACCCAATATATCTCACAACATAGTTCATATTTAAAAATAGAAAACTTTAGATTGAACAAGCCATTTAGTTCAGGTTTTTTCTCAGAGAGGAAAGCAGACGTAACTTATAGTTAAACTCAGCCTGTCATGAAATTTTAACGACCCCGCAATTATTCATTACATCAAGAATTTCACAATCAAAAGTGCAGGCTTCCAAACATTGTGAAGATATAGCCAAATTAGTTATAACAATTCGAAAGCCCAATCAATATTAGCACGGTCAAAAAATTTCTACAGCTAGTTCTCAACCATGATCAGATGCAAGATTGGTACGGTAGACAAACTTGAATTGTGCTGAGACGTGATGATTACTGGCCATTCCAATACAAATCATAAATTTTGGACAATGCCAACAACTCCAAGCAAGCCCACATGAATTCAGGGCAGATGCAACAGTACCCACATGTGGGACTCGAGCCCACTCTTATCATAATGCCGACAGAGGTTGTCCAACCATAGTCTTGTAACTTTCTCCATGTTGCTCTCTGCTCCTCTCCACCCTAGACTCTTCTAGGAACCCTGTTTTTGGGATAAAACAAGGCTATATCAATCGTTTTCCTTACAAGACTAGACCACCTATTTTTGGGAAAAAAACTAGTACTATTTTTGGGAAAAAAACTAGTACATCGTAATCAAAGCTTCGACAGAGAGTTTTCAAGATGAAGGTGAGTCCAAAATCTTCTAAATTTGGTATTCGCCATATGCATTCTTTCTAATTATGTTATTTGATGCAGTTGCTAGGTTGGATGCATCGGAAGTTGAGGCAGAACTACAATGAACCAACAAAGAATTTCACAATAGGTAACATGTGTCAACGTATATATCAAGAATGAATGATGAAACTTTATTAAAAATACTCCTTCCACCCTCTCCCTCTCCCCAACCCCACATTCCAGGTTATCTGCCAAGTTCCATATTTAGTTTTTGAATTATTTTTTAATATTTGGTGCATATTCTAGGACTTATACTCTCTAGAATTCACTGGAGTTTCTTCGTGAACAAGCAAACATAATAATTAAATAACAAAAATCAAAATTTTCTAGATTTTCTTAAGAATTAAGGAAAATTAAGTAATGAAAAATAGGAATTATCTAGAAAGCTTCCACCTCCATTTTGTTTGCTATAAATAGGTGGTTGTCTTCAGTTGTAATGAAGTGAAAAATAGAAATTCCTAGCTATTGTCTCATATCATTTTGTAAAATCTTCGCTTTAATAAATTAATTTTTTCTCCTTCAACTATCTTATTCAATTTAAATTGCTCCATACTATTTCCAATTCCAAAAAATTATCATATACAAAGCCTACTATATCATTTACTTTAAACCCATTTATTTCTTCTACTCGAATTAAAATTCATCAGTGATATCAGAGTCAGGATCGATTGGTATTGCGCATAGGCATATACTATAGCAGAAGCTTTCCGTTCATCAATTCCTATTCCAACATTTGGTGAAGATAACTATGATTTTTGGTCCATCAAAATGAAGACCTACTTTTGTGCACAAAACTTATGGGATGTCGTCAAAGATGGAAATATTAACCTCGATGACATTTTCATTTTAACTACCGCATAAAAGAAGGAACTTAAAGAGAATCAATAAAAAGATTCTCTAGCACTATTGGCTTTACAAATGAGCTTGACAGACACTTATTTTTTAAGAATCATGGGAGCTAAAACAGTAAAATAAGCTTGAGATAAACTGAAGAAGGAGTTTTATGGCAATAACTAGGTGTGCACTTACCGTCTTCAAACTTTAAGAAGAAATTTTGAAAATCTAAAAATAAAAGATTCTGAAACCGTGAAAAATTTAAAAATAGATGAAATAGTTAATCAACTACGATCTTATGGAGATGATGTTCTTGACAGGAAAGTTGTTGGAAAATTTTTAATTACTTGCATAGAAAAATATAATCTAATTATTGTAGCTATTGAGAAGTCTAAAGATATAGATAGATTAACAGCCATAAAATTAATGGGTTCACTAGAAGCACATTAAAAAAGATTAGCAAGGTGTTATGAAATTGAAACGGAAAACGCTTTACAATCTAAAGTAAATATGCGATTTCAAGAAGGTGGAAGAAAATTTAAAGATAATTTTAAAAACAAAGAAATTCAAGGAAATGAAATTAAAAAAAGCGGGAAGTATCCTTCTTGTGATATTTGTAAAAGAAAAAAGTTACTTGGAGAATGATTGTTGGCTTAAAAGAAAATCATAATGCTGTAAGTGTAAAAAATTTGACCACGAAGAAAAATTTTGTCGCTTTAAACAAAATCATCAAGCTAATCTCTCTGAAAAAAAGATATAGAAGGAAGTCTATTTTATACCTCCAATAAGGATGCATATGATGACAAGCTGGATAGATTGTATCTAGAGAATGGTTGTAGTAACCACATGATGAAAAATGAAAATATTTTTCACAGTTTTGATAAAGCCAAGGTAAAAATAAAAATTAGCAATGAAAATTTCATAGAGGCAATAGGAAATGGCACTATTGCCGTCGATACAAAAAAGGGTAGGAGATATATCAATGAAGTTCTCTTGGTTCCTACAATAGATCAAAATCTACTAAGTGTAGACCAAATGATGGAGAAGGATACAGTTTACATTTTGTAGGAGATTCTTGCACGATCTATAACAAGAAAGATAAATCTCTTGCAATTGTAAAAGTCAAAAAGCGGGAGAACAGACGTTTTCAAATTCAATGGAGATATGCAAAAAATGGGGGCAATGAAGGGGCAAGTGGATGAGTCGTAGCTGTGGTACAAAATATTTGGACGCTTTCACTTCTACGGTTTGAAGATCTGCATTAAAAGAGTATAATGACAGACTTACCAGTCATATAGGAGATTAATGAAATTTGGAAAGGATATTTGCTCAAGAAACAACACCGTCAACCATTTCCCTCCGAAAAATATTGGAAAGCCAAAAAGCCTTTGGAGCTAATACATATAGAGATGTATGCAGCCTGATGGGTACTTCGTCACACGAGCAAAAAAGGTACTTCATTCTTTTCGTAGATGATTAACTAGACATGGCTATACTGCTTTCATGAGAAATCCCAAATAATTGAGATTTTTAAAAGGTTCAAAAGCTATATCAAAAAGCAAGGTGGTTGCAATATCGAAATTATCAGAAGCAACAGAGGCAAAGAATATACATCAAATGAATTCAACAAGTTTTGTATAGAATAATGAATGAAGCGCCAACTCACTGTTGGTTATGCACCAAAACAAAATGGCGTGTTAGATAGAAAGAACAGAACAGTAATTGAGACAGGTAGAGCTATGCTACTAAAGAAAGGTCTTCCAAAAATCTTCTAGGCAGAAGCAATAAGCATCGTCATCTACCTACTAAATCGATGTGCGACCAAAGCTGTGGAAGGCAAAACACCAATGGAAGCATGGAGCAGACAAAAAAATCAGCAAAGCATCTCAGAGTTTTTTGGCTATATATGCTGCACACATATTCCATAAGAGAAAAGAGGTAAGTTAGATGAAAAGACAGAGAAATGAATTTTCTTAGGTTATAGTACTCATTCAAAAAGATATCAAGTCTATAACTTGAGAACAAATAAGCTAATTATCGGTCGGAAATTTAAGTTTGGCGAAGATGCCACCTACAACTGGGAGACTAGTCAAGTTGAAAGAAAAGCTATTAGCATTCTAACACAACCACAAAAACAAGATGGTGACGTTGAAGAGAACAATCTATCAGAGTCCCCGTAGCAAGCAACAATAGATGAACAAGTCGACTCACCAGAATTGTCACCAAAAAATTACGAAAATTATCAGAAATATACCAAAGCTGCAACTTAACAATCGTATAACTTGAAAGCTTGAAGCAGCTTCAAAACATCCAGAATGGAGAAAAGTTATGGACGAAGAAAAAAATGATCGAGAAAAATAAAATTGGGGAACTTGTAGATCTTCCTCAAAACAAAGAAGTTATAGGAGTTTAATGGATCTACAAGACAAAGCTTAATGTTGACGGGTCAATTCAAAAACATAAAGCAAGACTATTTGTCAAAGGATACTCATAATAGTTAGGCATCGAGTACAGTGAGACATTTACTCTAGTTGCTCGACTTGATACTATAAGGGCACTTATTGTATTAGTAGCATAGAAGAAGTGGAAGATTTATCAACTAGACGTGAAATAAGCATTTCTCAATGGCTATCTTCAAGAAGAAAGTTATGTAGAGCAACCTCAAGGGTACGTAGTACAAGGTAAAAAAGATAAAGTTCTCAAACTAAGAAATGCACTATATAGATTAAAGCAAGCTCCAAGAGCGTGGTACAGTAGAATAGACAACTACTTTACTGAGCAAGGATTCAGGAAGAGCCAAAATGAACCTACTCTATACATTAAATATCAAGGTACAAACAGTACACTTATAATCTCTCTATATGTTGATGATCTCATCTATACAAGAAGCAATGAAAGGATGATCAAAAAATTCAAGGAAGATATGATGAAAACGTTCGAGATGATTGATCAGGGTTTAATGCATTATTTTCTTGGGAAATGAGATAACTCAATCTGAAGATGGGATCTTTATTGCTGAGAAGACCACTAGTCTATTAAAGAAGCTTAATATTGAAGGTTGTAAGACAGTAGCAACACTCCTAGATAGGGACAAATCTCTCAAGAAAAAGACAATTAGAATCAGACAACTTACAATTTCGAAGCCTAATTAGAAATTTACTCTATCTCACAGCTACAAGGTCAAACATAATGTATGCAACCAGTTCAATTTCAAGATTTACACAAAATCCAAGTCAAGTTCACCATGGATCAGCAAAGCGGATTCTAAGATACCTCCAACGAACGAAAGAATATGGAATAAGATATCAATCTATGTCTGACTCAAGACTACTTGAGTATACTGATAGTGATTGGGTAGGATTGATAGATGATATGAAAAGCACATCAAGCTAAGCATTCACACTAGGTTCTAGAATATCCTCTTAGGCATCAAAGGAGCAGGCACCGGTTACACAATCATATGTTGAAATATTGTATATTGCAACAACAATGGCAACGAGTCAAGCTATATGGCTGAAGTGGATACTTGAAGACATGGGAAAATCACAAGACGAAGCAACAAAGATCTATTGTGACAACAAGTCAGCTATATCAATGAGGGAAGAATCATGTATTCCACAACAAAATTAAACAATTTGGTATCAAGTATCACTTCATTTTAGAGAAAGAGAAGCAAAAAAGAAAATAGAGCTCAAACATCGTAGAATTGAAGAACAATTAGTAGATCTTTTAACGAAGGCACTATCACAAGCAAAGTTTGAATTGCTGCAAGAGCTTATTGGAGTTACTAAAATATGGGCCAATGAGAAATATTAATATTTAGTGCATATCCTAGAAGTTATATTCTCTAGAATTCACTAGAGTTTCTTGGTGAACAAGCAAACATAATAATTAAATAACAAAAATCAAATTTTTGTGGATTTTCTTAAGGATTATGGAAAACTAATTAATGAAAAATAGGAATTATCTAGAAAGCTTCAGCCTCCATTTTGTTTGCCATAAATAGTGGTTGTCTTCAATTATAATGAAGTGAGAAAAGGAATTCCCAATCATTATCTCCTGTCATTTTCTAAAATCTTCTCTTCAATAAATTAATTTTTCTTCCTTCAACTATGTTGTTTAATTTAAATTACTTCCTGCTATTTTCTATTTCTAAAAATTATCCCATACAAAGCATATTATATTATTTATTCTAAACCCATTCATTTCTTCTACTCAAATTAAAATCATCATTATTTACAAAAGTGGCCGACAAGTTGTATGTCTAGAATCTGAACTTATGAGTGCTTTATTTCATTTCTGATTTCAGGAAACCCCTCCACTTGCTTCTCAGGACAGGTGTTTTTCGATGGAAAAAAATACCATATGGAAACAGCCCATACTTATTCGCGCTCAGGGCATCCTAACAAAGCGGAAACAGTGTTTCAAGAAGAGTCATCTGAGCCATTTGCTTTTCTTGCTATTGGAACTTTTGGTTCAGAACTGATGGATACAGACCCCCCAACACCCACATTTTTTACGCCTTTTGAGACTGTGACAACCAATGAACAGATGGAGATAGAAGAGAACTATCCGAAGCTTATAAACTATGAGCTAGAGAAGTTTCTTGAAGCTGAAGCTGAAGAGATTGGGGATGATTCACCAAAGAGGAGCAGTCTAGCGAGCATCATAACCATCTGTAACGAAGGGATTGAAGGTGCAGATTCTGAAGCCTATGCAAATGCGGTTGCATTTCCTCTGCAAAATTCACTCTTGGGCTCATCAATTCATGAAATGGCTTGGATAAGGGTAGAACCAGATAAAGAAAAGGCATCATTTGAGGAGGGTTTTAAGAAAAACAAGATAGTTGATGACGATCCTAAAGGGAAAAGTGAAGGATCTGAGAAACGAGCCAAAGGAAATTATCTAAAGCATTTCATAAAGATGATGATGAAGAAGCTCCATTCTACGTCTAAAGACAGTAGTGTTTCTTCTATTGATGCTACTAAATCCACTTCAATTAAGAAGAAACTCCCTAAGGTAAGTAAGCTCTTAACGCAGTACCAATAATAAACAATTTTTTTTTTCTCACTTATTGTGTCCAATGCTATAAAATAAGTAGTTGAATATCCAATACCCTGATCTAGGACTGATCATTTGGTGGATCGGTCAGCGTATTTCAATACCTATTACTACCCATTATACTTTGGGTGGGTTTACCTAATTATTGGAACTGAACCCGAGGTTCTGAGCTGGGGCTCGATTCTATCTATATACTTTTAAAAAATTTGTGAGTTGACAATACAAATTATCTATTCAATATATAGTATAATTGGAAAAAATAAAACATGTCACCAAATACATATTTCAACACTTTCATAATCCAATATAAATAAGATATGAATAGCATCAAATATCTAGAATAATAGCATTGAATTTCGACTGTAGCTCTACACGTGGCACCTCAAGAAGGGTTTATGGGACAGTAGCATGTAAAGTGCAATCAAAAATGGCTATGAACCAAAGTGATATGAAACTATTTAAATGAATGATTAGGATGCTTACTAGTGTCTAGCAAACTTGCTACTTGTGCTGAGTTGCATGTCAAATTGAATAAACTTTAAAAAATAAAAATCTATAAAAAGTGACAAATTTGGTTGTAGAGTCGGGAACCAATGGCTCTAGTTCAAAAATAAAGAACCATCTGTAACTTGGTTGGTTCTCGATTCTTGGTTGCTAATTTTCTTAAAATCAGACTAGAACCCCCGGTTCCGGTTCGAAATGTTCGATTTCCTATAAACATTGGATGAATTGTAAACACAAGCTCATAAGAAATATAAACTAACCCCAGAACTTAGTACATAATCTCAGTCTAAACTTGAACGCATGCTGTCAACTATTAGGAAAAACTGTATCTATCGGTTTTTCAATTATCATTTAATTTGTTGCATGCAGGGACTAAAGATATTCCACAAGAAGGTTCACCCTGAAGGATTAATAACTGAAAAACAGTTCAAATTGGAAAACGATATGGCCAAAAACATTTCCCGCGAACATGAAGGTGGCCATCAGATTGAAAAGGACAATGGAAAGAGGTCTTCTCAAAGAGCCAACATAAAGCAGCATGAACAGAACGCTATGAAACTATCTTCAAATGGTCTAAGCAAAGGTGCTTCAATGGTAAATAGAGAGCACTGGATCAGAACAGATACTGAGTGTAAGTAATATGTGCGCATGTGCATTCCCTCTCTAGCAACTTAATCTTTTAGATGAGTTAATTTAACATGGTATCACAAGAGGTGAAAAGGCTTGGATCAAATCTTGGTGACACAAAATTTGTGCACTTCTCTGTCAAGCCTTAAAAAAAATAAAATAATAAATAATAATAATAATAATAAAATAATAAGAAATAAATAAATCATATCCTGCCTACACACAAATAGGCATGTTTGAAAATAAAAATATAAATAATAGACGTGTCTCATCTCTAACAACTTAAACTCTAGCTGAGGTCATTCAACATTTGTTTCACTTATTCTTGTGTTTTGACTGCAGACTTGGTCTTGGAGCTGTAGAAGCAAAATGCTTGAAGCAAACATAATCTGGTCGAGTATGTCTATGAGGAGTTTGATAAGCTGTTGTATATTATAGAAACTTTCGTCATCGAGTGAATTCAAATATTATATAAAATTAAAATAGGACCTTCCTATATATCGATATACATACATAAGCTTTCTAGATCTAGTTATTTCTGCCAAACGTTTTCAATATTTAAACTCTGGAGTAAATGTTGAAACAATGTAATTGTTCACTTGTATCATCTGCATATATATATGTCTGTTTGTGTTAAAATCATGTATGTTTTATGTTATTTCTAAATGCACGATGCACTAACATTATACTTGGAAAAAGTAAGGGACAACAAGCCCAAAATTTTGCATGATTATAAATTAATTAACAAGAAAAATTAAGGTGTTTGATTTGATGAATCTATATTTATGATAATATTGAGTGCATGTTGTCATGTTGAACTGTTAGTATTACAGTGGACATCAAATTACAGAAAGGATCAAGAATAAAGTTCAAACTATTCATATACTTTGCCTTTGTCCACATATCCCATATATAATTGGAGGTCCAATAAATCCAATTTTTGGAGACAAACACACTGCACTTTATACCAGACACCTGAATAACAAAGATCGAATTTGCAAACTTCTACGCACTGCACATGAAGAAAGCACATGAATTTGGGAGTATACTTATTTTTCATTCATTTTCGTTTTGGAGAGACCCACAGCTCTAAAAACAAGGAAAAGGTTTGCTTGTTCTATTTTCAAAAATGTTTTTGGAATACAAAAACAAGAACGAAGCCAAAGACAAAACAATATTTCGGTGTTCCAATGTTTTCTGTAACAGTGTGAAGTGTTTGTAAGCATTTAATTGTAATAAACCTCTAATAGATAACGAGATAGTAAAAAAAAAAAAAAATATCAATTCAAGAGAAATTTATTTTATTGTTGATTGAGTTGTGTTTGTTGGGAAATTATTGATTTGCCATGTAGGCCTATATATGTAATTAATTGTATATAAAAGCTATTTTAAAGTTAAACTCAAAATCAAAGTGATCTAATAAAGAATTAAGTAATTAGGCTTAGAACATCTAAATAAAATGTGGACCAGATTCCTTGATAATTGTATTTCATGATGGGTAAATACATATAGAAATTATATATAGAGGTATGGTCTCCAATTCATATGTAATTTTTCATTCTGTGTCATCTCATCAACGTGAGAATTTAGAGAGAATGCATATTGAAAATGAAGGTTCAAAATTCACAATCAAGAACATACAATCTACAATTAAGAATCAAAATGAAGGAATTCAAGATTTAAGATTGTGGATCAAGAAGAAAACCAAGAACAAGAATCAAAGAATCCAAGGAAGCAAAATTCAAGATTAAAAGCAAGAAAGTAATTAAGAAGGGATTTCAAGTTGATTTTCAAGATTCAAGATCCGAAATCAAGATCCAGTAATAAAAAATTATTACCAAAGAATTAAGGTATGTTCTGCATTATTAATTTTTTTGGTAATTTAACATGGAGGATCTTGGTAGTAAAGTAATTATGTTTTCATGTTATTAAAATTAAAAGTTTCATAAAATTTCAACAAGTAGTATCAGAGCCGACTCCATGTTAACCATTGGGTTTAAAGGAAGATTTTCGTGGTTAAAATTCATATATTGAGCTTTAGAATATTTTAATTTGGAATATAAATTTTTACGAAATTTAGAATTATTCAAGAAAGAATTTTAGGGTTGAAATTCATATATTGTGTTTTACGATTTAAGTATGAGAATTTTAGCCTTAAGATTCAAATCGAGAATTTTAGCGGATTTTTTCGGAAAACTGGATTCATGTTTTTTTTTTCGATCGAGTGAAAAATAAAAGTTGGATTAAGGGATACGAACATCAAAACGTTTGATTTTTACATGATTTTTATTTTTGTATGAGAATCAATTAGGCAGCCTATTTCTTGCTTTTGGCATTATCGAATTAGAAAGATGTCATTGGAGACCCATAACATGACTTTAATGATTAGGAACAATTTAGTTTTGAATCAATTGGTGGCCAACAATAAATGATGGATTTTCTTGGGTTGCATGTGAAATTTTTGTTGTTTGGGAAGAAAACATGAATCGTCGCTGCTTGACGGTATGCACCGCTGCGGCATGGACTTGCTGTTTTTTTATTTTTTTATTTTTTTCAAAATAAATAAATAAATATATATATATATATATATATATATATATATAATATGAGCAATCAAATTTTAAATCTTGGTACTTAAAATTTATTTCGGATTACTAATTTTTTAAATTAAATTAGTTGAATCAACATATTACCATAGTAACATCTCGTCTAAATTAATCTATTTGGAATATTAGGAAGGTTATGTGTAGGTAATTCATGCGAATATTCACCGATCCAAAGGAATGTCAATATTTGACAGAATTATTTGCACGCTTGCAAAAATAAATATGTGACAATTGTAAAGTTTTTCGTTATGTAAACATTGAGTCGGTCCAAAGATAAACTCGACGTTTGACTGGATTTATTGTCAATATTTGATTATTACACCAAGAGTATTACTTACAAGTTGATATTCTCTGTTCAAAGACTAAATATCAATGTTGTGCTCGATCTCTTGTAATGAAGCTTGGAATTATTTGAAATTATTGATTGTCCAATATGGATTTTCATGTGAACATGTTATTTAGATTTAGGTTCTCTATTTGGTTTATCAATCTACTTTCATAATATCTGTCGAAGTCAATTTAATTCCTATGCTAGAACCAAAGTTTAAGGCCGGAAAAGAGAATGTTTATATCGTTCTTGACGGCAAAGATCTAGACCTTGCATTAAGAACTTAACAATCCACTACTTCTTATGGATAAGAGTTCCGCCTAACAAAATGGGACTCGAATAAGCAGGATTGTTCAAACTGCATAAGTCTTATAACCATGAAGCTTAAAATTCCAACAACATTCAGGGGCACTTTGTCCAATAAAGTAACTGCCTAGAAATTTCTTAAATAAATATTCCAAAACACTTTGCGAAAGGACAATAAGGTCGAAGCTAGTACGCTTCTAGCAAACTTGATTTCACTAAAGTATAATGCTAATGAAAATGGGGAGCATGTTATGGATGTGTCTCATCTTGTTTCAAAACAAACGATATTAAAGTTTAAGCTCTTTGACGACCTACTCGTACATACGGTTTTGGTTTATTTTCCTGCACAACTCAGTTAATTTAAGGTCAGTAACAACAGTCAAAAGGGGAAGTGGACTCTTAATGAGCTCATTTCATATGGTGGGCAAGAAGAAGAAACTATAAAGAAAAAGAGAACTGAAAGTACTCACTTGGCAAATAATTCTAAGGACAAGTTAAAAAATAAGAAAGTTGCATCCGGTTCAGTTCAACAAATGCCTAAAAATGGATGAATCATCTAACTATTACTTGAGTAAATATCTGGGACACATGAAGAGAGATTGTACTAAATACCACACTTGGCATGTAAAGAAAGTACACTTCTCACTTTGGTTTAATCCTGTGGTTAATTTAGTTTGAATACCAAGACACTTTTGGTGGATAAATTTTGGTACCACTCCTTATATAAGTGTGTCCATGCGGGGTTGCCTGAACTGCCAAAAGCTAATCGATGCTGAAAGATTCAGCTATACGGGGTGATGGCAAACCAGTTAAAGTTGAGGCTATAAGAATTTTTAGGTTATTATTAAAGATTGGATATTATTTGAATTCGAAAGAGACAATTGAGGTACCATCTTTTTAGACGAAATTTGATATCTGTTTCTACATTGGACAAATTCGGTTACTTTTGTATAATTGAAAATAGTAAGTTTAGTGTTTTTCTTAATTCAATATTGTGGGTACTAGTTCTTTATTCGATTATGATAACCTATATGAGTTTAATACGGTCGTCTCTTATAAAGAAGCCTTGCATGTGAATTCATGTAGTATTAAATATAAATTAACCTATAAGAATTTTGCTTTGTTATGACACAAGTGACCATGACACATCTCTCAAAAGAGAATGAAAAATCTTGTGACAGAAGGAATTCTAGATTCCCTTAAATTTTCATACTCAAGTGTTTATGTTAATTACATTAAGGGGAACAAACAAACATAAGGAGATTAGGTACCAATAAAACTTCGGACATCTTAGAACTAATTTATATGGATATTTGTGGGTGATCTCCTTTGACTTTTTGGAATGGTCAACAATAATGTATTATGTTTATAGATGAATTTTTCTTACTATGGCTACCTATATCTCATCTATGAGAAAATCTCAAACACTTGACATGTTCAAGACATACAAGGCTGAGGTTGAAAATCAACTCAACAAAAGAGTAAAACACGTCTGATCTGGTTGTGATGGTGAATACTATTACAGATATGATGGATCAGGAGAACAACGTCTAGAGCCTTTTGCTAAATTTCTAAAGGAATGTGAAATCGTCCCACACTACATCAGAATTTCTCTAGGGAGAAGCATTAAAAATTGTAGCTTATATTCTCAATAAAGTTCCGAGTAAAGCAATTGTTAAGGGGGTTACAAATTTTATGATCATACCGCAAGGTCAATTTTTGAAATGGGAAATGCCCAGTTCTTTGAGGATGTAGAGTTTGCAAGAGGGAGATAATGTTAGGGATTTTGTCTTTAAGGAAAAATACACAAATATTCCTTTTGCTGCAATTAACTATGATTTGGACTGAGGACAAATTCTTGCTTCAGAACTTGTTCAAGAAGCAATTTTGGATAAAACAATATTATAAAATATCTCATACACAATCGAAAGACTGTTTCAAAAGAACAAACTCAACAACCTCAGGGACAAATGCCATTAAGGAAATTCACTAAAGAAAAAGAGAGCAATACGTTTAATTTTATAGTCTTCTCTAAGAAAATAAGGATGGCATTGTATTGGTGGATGAAGACCAGATCAATCAATTTTCATCACGTAATGCAAAGGATTAATTCTTATGAATGGATTGATGCCATAAATAAAGAGATAAAGTTCATGAGTAACAATGATATTTGGGAACTCATCGGCATTAACGTTAAAGAGTCTTTATTTCCGATTTCTACGAAAGACTCTTTTAGGGCTATTATGACATTTGATCTTAAGCTACATCTAATGACTTTCAAATTAAAGAAATTCATCTATAGGCTTAACAATGATGTTTGGGAACTCATCGGCATTAACTTTAAAGAGTCTTTCTTTCCAATTTCTACGAAAGACTCTTTTAGGACTATTATGTCATTT